CAGGAACAGTTTATTATCTCCCAAGTCTGAAGAGAAAGAGTTAACTCTGTCTGCCAGCGATGGGCGGGGAGGACAAAGTGGAAGCAGAGATTCCCAGCTGAACTGTGAGACCCCCCTGCAGGGAGGAGGCGAGTTCTCTCACCGTGGCTATAAATCCACCAAAGGGTAGGCAGCTGCGGGTGAGCGTGTGGGAGAGCGAGGCCCGAGGAAAGGAAGGGAGCACTGCAGGATTCTGGTGAGTTCGCCCACGGAATCCGATTCGTGTGGGCAAAGGAATTGTACTGTACTTCAGCCAGAGACGGGTCTGAAGCAGAACCGCAGATCCAAACACACCCACATTCTGGGCAAGTTCAAAACCTGATCCAAATTCTGCTGCAGTATATTTGAATTTCCTGTTTCATCTGCGGATTCGTATTGTGCCCCACCTGATCGCACTTGGGTGCCTAGCGCTAGGCAGCTATGGTCTGTATTTAGAATGAATGATCTGGTTTTCACCTAAACGAGTGATCTGGTTTTCAATGGGAGCTGATGGGTGTTCAGCACCTCCAAAGAATCAAGCTCTGTGCCCAAGCGTGGATGAAGGCCAATACTTTCAACAGCCAAGACTGAGGATGTGGTGCTGAGTGGCTCTTTAGACGTTTCACAGGCAGATGACCTCTCTTGACTTCAACGTTGGTCTTAGTTCCTTTCTGTTAAGGTGCCTGGATTCTGAAAGGGGTTGTGGAATGCAGTTTATGTGAAAGAGACGATGCGGATTACATTTGAGGTTGGCTTTTTTAAAAATCCTGGCCTTCCTTTGTGAAGGCATAATTTGCACCTGGAAATAGCTGCCCCCACAAATCAGGTGTGTAGCGGCTTCCATGCCCACATTCCTGTTGGCAGATCCTTGTGGGTGCAAACAAAGGCGGAAAGCCCTAAAAGCTAATGATGGGATGCAGCCAGAAGCCACTTGTTGAAATTCCTCCACAAAATGATTGGGAAGTATAGGGGGATTTTGTACATTCTCTAGATATTGAGAATTATTGACATCCAAAGAGCACTCAGAATGTGCAAGGCGCTGTACCCACACAGACACACACTCTCTCTCTCTCTCTCACACACACACATGCACACATACACACACACACACAGATACTTTTCTTCATCAACAATAAGCCCTCTGTAACATACGGAGGGGGAGATTAAGGAATACAAACCAAAATATGCACCATTTTTTCCTACCATTATATGCATCTGTTATGTTAAATAGATGCACATCAGCTCTACCCAGTGCTCCATTGTTCCTTGGCCAAGTGGGTGTTGAGGATGGGTACAAAGCAGGAATGGGGAGTGGGCCGGTTCAGGGGGGCTGTTCTATACTAGAGAGGCAGAGTGGGAGATGCAGACAGGTGGGTGCTCCATCCCTGGCAGAGTGGAGTGGAGAGGGGACAACACAAGAAGAGAACTGAGTGGATCAGTAAGGAGACAGAGCTGTGAAGGGCCCTGAGGATGAGGACAAGGAGCCTGTGGAGGGATTTCATGCTTTGGAGGTGTGAGAAGGGGCATGTGGACCAGAGTGGAGGAGGTTGCCGGAACCAAGGCTGGAGATGACGAGGGGCTGGAGATGCAGGAGAGTGTAGGTAGTAGGGTCGGATCTTAGGAACAAGATGGAGAGTGACATGACAGGACTTGGACATGCCCTGCACACGCAGGTCAGAGGGGTCAAAGACGTCTACCAGGTTGTAGCCCTGAGTGACTGCGAGGCTGGAGGTGTTGTCAGCAGTGATAGAGATCGGGCAGAGGAGAGGGCTTGGTAACAAAGTCAATGAGTTCACCCCCCTCCCCTCCCTACTCCCCAGCGTAAGAGAGGGTAGGCTGGGGTCAGGGGGCTTCCCTTGGAATTCAGTCGCTACTCAACCTTGGTCAGAAATACCCTAACCATGCTGCAAAGCCCATATCTACTGTCCTATCTTCTCACCTGGCCAAGTGTAGGAGTCATGGGGTGGTCGCTGTCTGAAGGAGGGAAGGGCTTTGCTAATTTCTAGACTATCTGGTTTCGGCTGATTTGCTTGATATGTTTTGTGGGCTGGGGCCAATCTGGGTTGATCTTGCACAAGTGCCTAATGCTCCAAAATAGCAAAAGAAATCATTTGAAATCTGAAAGCTGCAGATGTAAATGGAGCATGAAGTTCATCGTGTCTCCCCCAAGCACTCAGGTACCATTGTGATGGCACTGAAAGAAACGCTCATGATAACACAAAAGGTAATGCAAATGTATGCAGGGAAAATCGGAAAGTCTTCTGAAGAAAAGGGTTGGCGTCACAGATCTAATGTGTAGAGCCAACTCCAGACATGACAGAAGTGGATGCAGTTGCATCTTATTCACAGTTTGCACTCTGAATTCTTCAACTTCCAGCCACTAGAACTTGTTCTGCCTTAGCCTGCCAGATTAAAGAGCCCTCCGGTAGCTAATATCTTATCATTTGTACTTACACCCCTGGATCCAGGCTTTTGTTAATTTGAGCTCCTCGATGTTTACCACCCAACCAATGTTTCTATCAGCTCCAGACCTTGTCATCCATTCCCAAAGCAGTTGCACCCCGTGAGCCAGAGTGGAGTGCGGCATCTCACGTGTGTCGTGTCTGTTCACCATCTCATATGTTTTATTGACAGGACAGACGTTGATGTGAAACTTTTGGAGGATGCTCCTGTAGGGCAACCTGTCAGCTCCCAATGGCACAGGCTATGATCCGTCCATGTTCTTCCTGACGGGCATCCCGGGGCTGGAAGCTCTGCACCCCTGGATCTCCATCCCCTTCTGCTCGATGTTCACCGTGGCCCTTCTAGGAAACTGCACCCTCTTGTATGTTATCAAGACAGAGCCCTCCCTACACAAGCCCATGTTCTATTTCCTCACCATGCTGGCCGTCATCGACCTGGTTTTATCCACCACCACCGTGCCGAAAATACTGGGCATCTTCTGGTTTAATTCCAGGGAGATCAGCTTTAATGCCTGTCTGGTGCAGATGTTTTTCATTCTCTCGTTCTGCACCCTGGAGTCTGGTCTGCTGCTGGCCATGGCCTTTGACAGGTACGTGGCCATCTGCAACCCCCTGCGGTATGACACCATCCTGACCAATTCAGTGATAGCAAAGATCGGGCTGGCGGCTTTGGCTCGGGCTGTTCTGCCAGTAGTCCCTTTGCCCTTCCTCATGAGGAGGCTGCCCTTCTGCCAGTCCCACGTCATCTCCCATTGCTACTGTGAGCACATGGCCGTGGTGAAGCTGGCCTGTGCTGACACCAGGTTCAATAACATCTATGGGATCATTGTTGCTT